CCAGATCTTGGTTTCTAAACACCATTCTCCAACAAAAGGAACCAGAGAAGCAGAGTCTCTTGGGGCCGAGAAAATGCAAAATGAGCCTGAAAAATCTTTCTGGTGCCAGCAAATGACAAAGTACAAGGCCATGTAGGAAGGACACAGGAGGTGAACCACAGGAGCTCTGACAGCCAGAGCAGGGACAATTTGAGCAAGAAAATAAACAAGGATAGTCCTGGTGCATGATGGGTGAAGCAAAATAAACATCTATGAGTTCGTACTAAAATAAGTAGCAACCGGAAAATAGACACATGGGGGCAAAGGGACAGCTCTTCCTTCCAGTACAGATTCAATCAATAAACTCATAGACATGATGGAACTAAAGAATAGGCATTCGGAAAACACCACCTTAGTAATTGTTTTAGGCAAGAATTACCAATGGTTATATAATAGATGCTAAAATTAGTGGGAGAATCTATAGTGAGACACAAGATATTTCCATTATCTCTGGGCATAGGAGGTCAGACATCACGTTCGTGAACTCTCCTAGAGAAAGTGCTCCAGGCCTCGTGCTGAATCTCACTACGGTCAGCTTGGAAGTGCTCCCCTTGGGAAGGTGTGCACCGAGGCCACAGCCCGCCCTTCAGAGCAGTCTTGGGGCTCTTTCTGGAATGGTCATCAGAGCTGTCATATGAAGTCTGACAATTAAGTCCATGAACTCATCGTAGAAATAGCGCTTTCAAGGGTGAGTGAGGCGCCGGCGTCCCTCCACCACTTCCCCAGGGGAGGACTCCAAAGGTGACCCTAGTTACATTCAGCAATGAGGCATGGAGCACTTTTTCTAGGCTGAGTTTACAAACTTAATTGTCCTCATATTTCCATATGGTAATTATTAATGACAAAGAGAAAAGCAGTAATTTAATAATGGGGAAGTCCTCCTTTAGCAAGTGGTCAGCCAGCACCCCTAGGAATGGGACGACCGGATGGCCTATCTCTGGAGATGACACCCTGGGGAGGGCACTGCTTTGTTCTCAGCATTCTGACCGAAGGTGCCTGAGCTGATGGAACCGTGAGGAAACATCAAGCTGCCCCGAACTGAGGCACATACCACAGAGTCACGGGGAGGCATGCTTCAGAAGTGGCGAGGTCTCGAAACATAAAAACAAAAGTGTCTCAGACGGAAGGGGACGAAGGAGGTGTGACAGCTACGTGCCATGTGGGACCCTGGATCAGATCTCAGACCAGAAAGGTGCCATTAATGAGATAATGGGTCCAACCCATTGCACACTGTTAACGTACTGCTCTGTGTGTTAACGTACTGCTCTGTTAACACTACTCAGTGTGCGGTGTTTCTCCAAGATGTGAACTCACGGGGAAACTGGGATGCTTCCTACTGCTTTTGGAGACATTTTGTAATTCTGAAATTATTTCAGAATGAAAAGTCAAAAAATCAAAGTAAACCAAAACCACAATGCAGATGAATAATTGCAGGGTGGACGGGCACCCACACAGGAGAGAAGAGAATGGAGAGAGCCCAGGGCAGTGCCCGGGAAGGGCTGCCCAGGGGAATGCGGTTTCTCTAACACCTCATGAAGACAGACAGCCGGGCACAGGGCAGAGGGAAGGAACAGCACAGCTGACAGCCACGAGGCAACGGAGGGCTCGCCTGTGCAGTGCTGGGAGCACGGCAAGAGAGGACAGCAGGGTCTGGAGGACAGTTTCGTTCTAAAAGGAGAGGAGAGTGGCCTATTTACACAGGTCCTGGGGGCTGTAAGGAAAACATGGACATCACTCCATGTGCTCTGGGAAACCATTGGAAGGTTTTGGCTATCACATAAATTTCCTTTGAGACACAGGGATGATTTGAAGTATGTTCCAAAGTGGGTCTATCTAACTAGTGCCAGCCTCTCTGTGAGCACAGGAGCTCGGCTATCACATGTAGCTTTTCTAGCACACAATGAAGCCTATTGCATACAACCAGCATTTAATAAGGGGGGTGCAATGAACTTCGGCTGTGGATGGCCTTGATAATCTGTTGTGGATTGAATATACCCCTCCTCCAAAAAATACACGTTCAAGTCCAATGCTGTGGCTGTGACATTTGGATATGGGAGTCTGTGCAGATGTCATCAAGTTACAGTGACGAAGACTAGATTAGGGTGGCGCCTGATCCAGTGATCGGTGCCTTCATGAGAGAAAAGAGAGGGAGATTTGGATGTAGAGACGCAGGCAGAGGAAAGACACAGAGAGGAAAGATGATGGTTGCATGAAGACAGAGGCAGAGATGGAGTGACACAACCACAAGCTAAGGACACCTGGAGCCCCCGACACTGGAAGAGGCCAGGAGAGACCCTCCCCTGGTGGCTCCCGAGGGAGCTTGCCCCTGCCCACAGCTTGTTTTTGAACTTCAGACTTTCTGACTCCATAGGATGAGAGCCGCTCAGTGTGTGGGCTTTAGCCAGAGCAGCCTTGGGGACTCCATAAGCTCTCCTTGAGCACAAGGTGAAGTGACAGAGTTGCCCACGGGCTCCTTCCTCCGTTTTCCGTGCCCCACCCCATTTGCCACATCACAAGTCACTTATGCATTTGCTTATTAAATGCCACTTTAAAATTACCCAGTATTTTAAAATCAAATCCAGATCGCCCTCCCCGCCTTTAGAAGGCAGCTCCTAGTAAAATGGGCTGTGAAGGCACAAGCTGGCGATGAGAACCGCGGCTGCTTTTTCACACCCTTGAAGCCAGCGTGTGACTGCTGAGCTAGGACGTGCTCGCCACTGCACCTGAAATCACCTCACACCCACCCTCGCCTTCATGCCTTGCTTCGAGAACCTCAGGACAAGCCAATTAGGAGAGGAAAAATGCTTTTCTTTTGTTTTCGCTCCAAAAGAAAGGCAAGTGAAGAGCTGCTGTCCCTCCATCTCCTCTGGCGACAAGCCTGCGTCTCTGCCCGGCCCTCCTCCCCTGCTCTCGCTGTGATCTTTGAAGAAAACGTGGGTTGTGGACATGGGAGTGAAACCCGTCCAAGCCTTTGTTGTTCATCTGCAAAATAGAATAACCACACCTGCCTTGTTGTGAAAAGTAGAGGAGAAAAGGATATACTTTGTCTGTTTCCATTTCCAGGAAATACCCAGAACAAGTAGACCCATACAGACGGAAGGCAGGTTAGCAGCTGCCTGGGTCCAAGGCGGGAGTGGGGGGCACTGCTCATGGGCACAGGGTCTTCTTTCTGAGTGAGGACAATGTTCTGGAATGAGACCGTGGTAGCTGCACGGTATTGGGACTGTCCTAAGTGCCACTGAATTGCATACTTCCACGTGATTTGAATGGTGAATTTTATATTAGATGTGTTTTACTAAAATATTCTTTTAATTGACCAAGAATCATCTGCCTGTGGGGTATTGACAATGGCCAGGTCCTTCTGCCTCTCTGAACCTCTGTTTCCTCATCTACAAAATGAGGGTACGGACACCACCCACATTCTGGATGGGTGTGCAGACTCCATTCGTCCATCCTTGGGCCCCTGCATTGACCCACTGCCTCCCCTGGGACTGTCTGTGAGAGGTGGAAGGATTCACAGCCATAATGCAGTATCTCATCCAAGCACTCCCAGGACACCCATGCCACCTGCCCAGGAGGCAGTGGGTGCCATTATTATGACCCCAATACAACCTGAGACGGGTGCCCACACTCAGCAGGGCTCAGCAAATGCCCTTTCCCAGTGGTGCCCCAGGCCGTCTGGTGTTTGTCCCTGCAGCCTGCCTCTGGTGTTATGACTTAGGAGAATACAGCGAGCTGGAGCAGGTCATATTTCATATCTGGTAGCCTGGTCTGAGCAATTGGCGCTCTAGATTTAATTCTGCAGGTAATTTAAACGATGCTATCTAATTTCAAATGTCCCTGCTCTTATGAGTGCAAAAGCAGCATAATTTTTAATTAGTGAGTAAACAGTAAATAATGAATGGCAGTAAGTGGACACCACTGTTAATTAAAAATCCATGGTTGATAAAAATCAATTTGGTCCATGTATTTAACTCGACTTATCAGGTCCCTGTGAAAAGTTGTGTAACCCAGCCCACAACACCATCTGCTTTCACTTGTTGTTTCTTTAGTTAACTAGACTTTTTCTGGGGGAAGAGGAAGAAGGAGGGGGAAAAAAAGCAAAGCAAATAAAACATCTACCCCCAAAAGATGCTATTGAGAAAATGTCATGGAGTCATTTATAATTGGTTCATTTTATTTTTGCAACCTTGAAGTTGAGGCTTCCGGTACAACCAAGAGGTGACGTTATATTCCACTCCGGTGTTTTGATCAAGGTCACCAGTTCTGTTTTGTGTTTGTGTGTGCATGTTCTGAATACAGTGAGATTTAGCAGTATCTCCTAGTCTCCTGACATAATTAAATCCTAATTTCTTGCAGAAAAACAAGACAAACTAAAACAACTTAGCAGAAATGTAGTGTCTGAACATGCGTGACAGAATGCAACGTGGAGGGCCATCGGTACTCCGGGCCTTCAGAGAGGATACAGACCAAAAAAAAAGAGCTTGTTTTCTTTAGAACAGAAAACATTTCCTCAGGAACTCGAGTGTCGTGGAAACAATGAGAAGATAATTTTCAGGGCCCATTCGCTCTTCTGCTCGGAGACGGGAGTTTGATTTCCCCACCAGGCAAATAACACTGACCCCATTTGATCTTTTTCTTCGCTTTGCTTCCATCCATTCCCCGAATCAACACTTTCGGACAGGTTTCATTGACACCGAGATGTTCAAATTAACCTGCAGAATTGAATCCAGGGAACTCAGTGTCTTCCGATGAAGTCGATTGCAAAAGCCCCCAAATACTCAGGTTGTTGATGCTGAGATGTGTCTGTGTCTCTGTCCTGGATCAGGATTCTGGGTAGGAGTATGCCAGGACTGGGCCCAACTCCGATGCCCACCCATCTACCCACTGCAATGTCCTGGCTCGGGTTCCCTGAAAAATTTGATGTGCTGAGTTAAAATGGGAAAACACAGCTGGGCGCGATGGCTCATGCCTGTAAAATCCTAGTACTCTGGAGGCCGAGGTGGGTGGATTGCTTGAGCTCAGGAGTTCAAGACCAACCTGAGCAAGAGTGAGACCCCCATCTCAATAAAAATAAGAAAAATTAGCCAGGTATTGTGCTGGGCACCTTTAGTCCCAGCTACTCAGGAGGCTGAGGCAAGAGGATTGCTTGAACCCAGGAGTTTGAGGTTGTTGAGAGCTTTGATGCCACAGCACTCTACCCAGGGTGACAGAAGGGGACTCTGTGTCAAAAAAAAAAAAAAGGAAAGCATAGTTTCTGTCTTGAAAGACCCCCACTAGCATCGTATTCCCTCTGAGCAGCCTGAGTCAGTGTTTGCTCTGATGTCTGCTGTTTGGCTAACTGGAGCCAGTGAGCCGGGAGGGTCATCCAGGGTGTGGTGGGGACCCAGGGCTCCTGTGGCACTTTTGTTCTCCCCTCATCCCCACATCCAGCAAGTGTGTCAAGAGCCCCATGTTCTTCAAGTCTCCAAAGCAGCCCCTTTCGCTGCTGCTGGGGATGTAAAAGAAGCCACGTGGCTCAGCTACCACTCCCTGCAGCCCAACAACCTCGGCTCAAATCCTGCTGGCTTTGTTGCTTTTGGGGGGGCAGCTACCTTGTGTAAGCTGAGCCCACCTCCCAGAACATAAGGCTAATGCTGTCTCCCAGAGTTGTGGCAAAGGTCAGAGACGATGTGTGGACACCCACAGAGTCCACATCCAATTAACAGGAGCCACTGCCACTGTCAGCCTCATAGTCACCAGCATCGCTCCCAGACACCCCAAGAGTCTCCAGAGACAACCCCTCAACCTCAAGGGAAGTGACAAATTGGCCCTGCCTCATTTTCCTGAGAGGTAACTAGGGTGTGGGAGCTTGGAGTCAAGGTGTCCAGTCAGATAGCTCCAAGGTTGTGTGAGATCTCCAGGCCTCCAGAACCCCAGATGGGAAGGGGCAGCTATGAGCTGGGGGAAGGAGTAGAATCTGCCATTGTCCACGTCTCCACTCAGCCCCAAGCCCTTCCCGGGCCTCCTGGCAGGCTGAAGCCCCTGCCAGGCCCCCCAGCACCCCCAGGCCAGTGCCCCAGGAGTCAGCTCCTCCCACCCTCTTTGGCCAAAGGCTCCGTGGGAAGAGCAGGATTGGAAGACCGGCGGCAGGGCTGGGCCTGGTGGACAGCACAGTAAGCACAGCCCATGGCTGTGATATCTGCACAATGCTCCCCGCCAAGCTTCCCACAACACCCCGCCATCTGGGCTGTCTCCAGCTGTCACCCCTGAGTGGAGATGACGGCTTCTGTGGGGATTGCTGCTCTTCAGCAGCTGAAGGCCTTGGCACTCTCACCTCTGAGGGGCCCCTGGAAGAGATTGTGAACAGTCCCACGCCCTGGCTTGACACATCTCCAGGGCAAAGCTGAGCACATCTGGGGATGGCTCAAGAGGACCATGAGCCCCATGCCCTGGGCCTCACTTCCTGCGTTCATCGACCCAGTCACCTTCCTCCCTGAGGCCTTCAGTTCCACCCCCAGCCCCCGGCCTAGGGATGAGGCCCTGCAAGAAAGGCATGGCCTGTCCCATTGACCTCATGGCTCAGCCCCAGACATCCACAGTGGGCCATACACTCATTCACTCACCACCACACCCTGAGCACTGGCTAAGTGCCAGGCACTGTCTGGACCCCACAGATACAGAGACGGACACCCAGAGGCCCAGCACTGAGGTGAGATAGGGAGGGAGTGGCCTCCAGGGGTGGCCAGCAGGTGTGGCCTGCTCTGCGAGGAGAAAGTGAAGCACGTCTAGGGACTCAGGAGATGAGCAACGAAGCTAATTCTTGTTGCCCCTGTGTGGGAGTCCATCCCTGGTGCCAGAACTGGGACGGCCTGGAGGGCTCTACAGCAGAGATGGGGGCATGGCACCCCCAGCTCCCTGCTATCTCTCAGGGAGGCCCCCTTGGCGTTGGGCAGGGAGGTGGGGCCGTGTTGCTGGGCTATGCTAGGATCTCTCACCCAGATCTGTCTGCTTTGCAGCTCACACTTCAGAGGCAGCTGGAACAACAGGGGGCGGCCGCCTGCACTGGGAGCCCCACTGTCAGCAACCTTTGCCAGACAGAGTATCCAGCACTGCAGTCCTCCCCCCACGCCTTGATGGGCCCTGGATCTCTACTGGGTAAGACTTTAGGTCGCCCCCACCATGGGCCCTGGGCTGGGAGACTTCTGCCTCTTTGAGCCTCTGTGTCCACATCTGGGAAATGGGCACAATTCATCCAGTTGTCCAAGAGTCTGGTACCTGCCAAGCCCATGGCTTTGCTTACCTCCCCTCTGAAGAGTGCAGCAGGAGGCAGGGATGGTGTTGGGTATCTCACCCAGCCACAAAGAGCAAATGGATAAAGTCCATTCATTTAGCACCGGGAGCCTCTATTACACAAATACCTATTGCATACCCACAACAAGCCAGGTGCATGGGGTAGACAGCGGGACATGTGCTGAGTAAATAGCAGAAACTCTAGATAGTGCCAAGCTCTGCAATGGAGGGAATAAATCTGCAGCTGTGACAGCAAGTGACCTGGAGGTTCTTTAGTGGTAGTCAGTGGGGTCCTCTTGGTGGTGGGGACATTCATCTGAGAGCTGACAGAAGAGTCAGCATCCAGAGAGCCAAAGAAGAGCCAGGCAGAGGGCACAGCAAGTGCAAAGGCCCCGAGGCAGGAAGTGGGGGCCTTACCTAACTCCCATTGTGACATGACAGGGTCACTGAAATTTCAGAAGTCCAGTTGCTGCTTTCCCCTCACCTGTAGCACACAACCCCCACAGCAGCCAGCTGAGTACCCCCTCCCAAGGTTGGGGTTAGGGAGAAGGGGACTATGGTCCCCTCTGCACCTGGCCCATTCCTCCCTCCTCCACCATCTCTGCTGGGCCAGTCCTGTTCTAGGGTCAAGGACTGGCCTCTCCATGTCCTTGATGTACCTCCTAAGGTCAGGGAGAAACTCGATTGCCAAACATCTGCTAGTGCTTTGGGTGGAAGGAGGGGCCTGAGCTCTGCAAAGCCATTTTCAGCACATTCCCAGGCTCTGCTAGCTGCACACAGCCCCCACCCGGCTGCATGGTCCAAGTGGGATCCAGGCCCCCACCAGCCAGAGTCACTCTGAGACAGAGCTGGGATACCGGCTGCTCCTGCCCCAAAACAACAGCATTCTAGAGTAGCTTTTAAAGTAACTTCTTCTAGAACTTCCTAGAAGGTTCCTGACCATGCTCCCCAGACAGAGCTTGCTGTTTCCTGGTAGAAGTGTAGAAAAGGGTCCAGAGTCTGGAACCACCTAGGTGTCCAATGTGACTTGTCTCATGCCCTTAAAGAAAATCTTCCTCCTCTCCAGGCCTTGCCCCAGGACCTCAGGGATGTGGGTCACCCCTACACATTTTTAAGTACCATCCTATACTAGTGTTCGCTTACTATTTTTCTTTAAACCATCTTGCTTTTATTTATTTAAACATATTCATTTATTCTTACAGCTTTATTGAAGTATAATTGGCATGCTCTGCCGCTCCACACATTTACAGTGTTATAGAATTATTTCTAAAGGAAGGGTAGCATCACCCTGCCTATGGAAGACAGAGCCACTTGTCATAAATAAGCGGGAACTGTAAAAGGAAACTCTATAAACACAAAGCAACATAATGAAATCCTCTCTAGATTCGCTGCCTACCTGAGAGAAGAGGGAGGCCGGTGTTAAAGACACACCCCGCTCCCTCCCGGCAGAGACCTGCTCCCCAACATTATCAGGAAGATTGAAAGAAAAGAAAAGGGGATTATTTCCTCACTAGGTGATAATGTGTTTCCTCTGCTCCAACAGCCTTGGTAGGAAAAACATCAAGAAAACAGCAGTACACAGTAAAATTGCGAAGGGCTCCGGCTGCCCTCCCTGGAACTCATCCTCCATCCACCCCAGGGCCTGCCTTGCCCCAGCCAGGCTGTGACTGTGGGCCCAGGAGTCCTTCAGCTTCCCTTCCCCTCCAGGCCCCATCCCTGGTCCTGTCTGATCACCAGCAGAATAGTCTGGGGCCCAGCCCCGCCTGCTGTTTGTCTGGTGAAAGAACTCATTACACTCATTACACAAAAACAAAAATATTTATTATTTGACCCTTTACAAAAAAGGCTTGCTGACGCCTGACTTAGATCGACCAGCCTAGTCACAGACATAGATACCCTGGTCAGGGAAGCCAGCCTGTTGAAAGGGACGGCACCACATCAGCCGCTGTCACCCCAATTCCCTTGTCCCTCCGTTCACTCAGCAAGGGATCAGCAAAGGACACCAATGAAGAGAACAGCAGGTGGGACCCTGCCTCCCAGGGCAGACAGCACAGCAGGTCCCCAAGTGGTTGCAAAGGAGCACCCAGTTAGGACGATTAGGATAGAAGGGAAGGAGAACCAGAGACCCTAAATGGAAGCCCCCAGCCCAAGTTGGGGCTGGCCAAGAACAGCCGTCAGGGCAGCTGAGGCTGTCGGAGCCCAGGCCTGAGCTGAGGCCTGGAAAGGAGGCAGGGGCGCGGCAGCCCAGCCCAGGGGGGCTGTGTTCGCTCAGGTCACCAACCCCATCCCCTTCCTCCTCTGGTAGCTGCGAGGTGCGTCCAGGCCCGGAGTTCCTCACCCGCTCTTACACCTTCTACCCCGACCGCCTCTTCCGAGCCTACCAGTTCTACTACACCGACCCCTCCTGCCAGGAACCTGCCCACTCGCTGCTCATCAAGGGCAAAGTGCGCCTGCGCCGGGCCTCCTGGGTCATCCGCGGTGCCACTGAGGCTGACTATCACCTGCACAAGGTGGGAATCGTCTTCCACAGCCGCAAAGCCCTGATGGATGTTGCCGGGCGCCTCAACTGGACCCGGGCTGGGCGGAACTGTGCGCCGAGGCTGCCCCCGGCCCGGGCCTGGCAGCCTGGGGCTCTGTACGAGCTGCTGAGCGCCCGGGCGGGCAGGGACTGCGTGGCGGCCCTGGGCTTCACCATGCACGAGCTCAGCCTGGTCCGTGTGCAGCGCCACTTGCAGCCCCAGCCCGCGGCTGCGCCCCAGCTGGTGGAGGAGCTGTACCTGGGCGACATCCATACGGACTGGGCAGAGAGGCAGCAGTACCGGCCCACTGGCTACCAGCACCCCCTGCAGAGTGCCCTGGTGAGTCCAGGCCCCTGGGAGGGAGAGCCCTGAGCGCTGGCCCAGCAGGCCCTATGGGGACCGGCCCCTGCCTGCTGTTACTGGGGCCCCTGGGCACTCTGGACTGCTTGTCTCAGGACATTTGCACAAGCTCTTCCCTCTGCCTGAGAGCTTTTCGCAGGCCTTTAGAAGGTTGGCTGGCTTTTTTCTGGATGGAAACGCTTCTCCAGCTCACATCTTCCAGATGTGGTCCTCCTGGGCTTTGCAGGACCCCCTGGGAGAGCCCCCGTGGGAACCCTGGGGATGGGACAGACTCAAAGCCACCCACCCACCCACCCCACCTTTTTCTCCTTCTCCTTCCCCCTCCTCCAAACCCAGGATCTGGGTAGCAGAGGAGCACAAGAATTCTCATCATCAGAAAATCAGCCTCAGAGTTCTTTTTACAGCCTCAAAATTATTCCCTTTTTGGTAACCACCGTTCTAGGCTGGGCTGGCATTAATCCTGCTTACAGAAGAGAAGGCGCTGGTGCTGAGTTGATGACCAGCCCCTACCACCTCATTAGGAGGGGAAATTCTGAATGCAGGGAGGACAGATCCTTGGGGGCCATGGCTGACAATTTCATGTCTCCCCAGGCAGGACTCTGGGGCCCTGGCTGTCTCTGCCCTCCCTGCTGCCTGGCCAGCCCTGGTGGCCAATGCAGGCTGAGATGTGACTGAGAAGAAAGATACACAGAAACCCAGGCAAACACCAGCGGTGCCAGATGCACAGACGTTAAATTAAATGTCAGCTCACCAACTGCCCACCTTCTCAGGAATAAAAAAAAAAAAAAGGGAAGATAATTTAAAAGAAGGAAATGCTGTGGATAAATCCCCAAATAACGAATTGGTCATTACCTTATACTCTCTGGGACCCAAGCCTTGCCCACAACCCAAAACCAGATGGTAAACATGAGCATTTTTAGAAGTTAATTTAAAACCAATTTGATCCCCAAATTCATTGCCTGGATATAGAATCCTAATCAATCAGCCAACACTCAACCAAAATCATCTGAGCCTGGTGTCACCTCTGGGGGTTAATTAGAAACTGTTATGTGCTGTTTGAGAAATAACTTTATGTAACAGGCTTAAACCAGTAAGAGTTTGGCTTCTGCACAAGTGTGAATTCTGCTGGCTGGAGACCTTGTTTATTAACACATGCAACTCCAGATTTCTTCAGAAAGATGCCTGGAAGATTATTAATATTTATTTTTTATTGTTTTGGCATCACAGCTCACAGCCACCTCAAACTCTAGGGCTTAAGTGATTCTCTTGCCTCAGCCTCCCACGTAGCTGGGACTACAGGTGCCCAACAGAAGGCCCAGCTATTTGTTGTTGTTGTCATTGCTGTTTGGTAGGCCTGGGCTGGTTCAAACCCGCCAGCTCTGGTGCATGTGGCTGGTGCCCTCACTGCTGAACTATAGATGCCAAGCCTACCTAGAAGATTTTTGATGGGGATGGAAACCTTATTTCACCATCTTCAAAAGCACCAGAGAAAGAAATGCATTTAATTAAAAAAAAAAAAAAAAAAGAAATGCTTTTTCTATCCACTCTCTCACCTTAAAAGCTCACCGGTTCTCAAAATTGTTTTTGCTATACAGAAAACTGCTTGCCTCAAATGATCAACCAGATCCCCCAAATGTGCTTTCTGCAGAGAATATCTCTTCTTCTTTTTCTTCTCCTTCTTTTTTTAAATTTTCTGTAGTAGGGAAAGGCAGTTCTGGGCTTATGTTAATGTAATGCACTGTGTCTTGTCAATACACATTAGTGTGACAACAGTCAGAATGTGGGTTAAAATGCCTAAATTAGAGTAGATTCTAATCAGCCAGCATCCCAATTACTGACACTCCAGCTAACTACCAAGCTCACTTGTTTCTGTCACAGACGTTTTTTGCAGCCATTTGCCAGCATTTCAGAATGCCTTCAAGCTCTCCGGGTTAAAATCTCCCAACCAAAAACAGTGCGGTCTCCTCTATTATGGGAATCAAGCAGAGCTGAGGTTCATGATGGAAATAAATAACAAGAGCTTTCAAAATGTGGCAATCCAAATTCTCAATCATCCAATATTTTCTTTCTAAACTAGAACTCCCAAATGTCACTTGTTTGACATGAAACTCACCCAGCAGTGATCTGTGGAAATCTTTTGGATTTTTTATTGCAAACAAGTAGACATATTGGAGCTGATTTCCCAGCTGAGCCCTCAAAATGCCCCCTCTCCTTTGCCTGTCCTGCTCAGGCCCTTGACCCAAAAGCAGGCGATGTTTGCTCATTCCCAAGCCAGCTTTGACAAGCAGTTCCAAGGCCATTTACCTTTCAGAATGATGCTCTGAACTAAATTCTGGGCAGCAGCTTCCTTAAAAAAAAAAAAAAAGCAAGATATCTGTATCTGGTTCCTTTTTGGCCTCTACTGTTCTTTGTCACTCCAGAATGCAGACTGACTACTCCCACACGATTCGGTTTAGCATCTGTTTCCTGTTGACGTGTTTTACTGTAAACCCAGCTCAAGAGAATTTGTAAGGCAAGGACAACTGTAAATAAGGCCAAAGATAGAGGAGAATCGATTCATAGGCTGGGGCACCTACAGGCTGTGGCTATACCTAAAAACTCAAGTGTGGCTGGTGCTCTCGATTTTATATAACACCAGAATGAACATTTAGGGGCCAGGGTTCTTCACAAGTTTTCAGCTATCTCCTTAGCACAGACTCTAAGCAATGGGGCACCAATGTCTTGATAGCCTTTGATTCTTGCTGCCATATTTACCTTCCAAGGAGACAGAGCAAATAATGCTCACCTTACACTGTGAGATTTCTAAAGATGAAGAGCTGCTTCCCCACCGGGGATGCTATTAGGCTTTCACAGAAAAGGGGGTGTGGCTTAAGCCAGCTGCATTTCAGGGGGGCCTCTGCCCTTCTAGACAGGAGGGCTGGGGCCCCGACCCTCTGCGTTTCAGCTTCCTCAGCTGCATCGTGTGACAGGTGCACTGGGAAGCTCTTGACAGAGCGCCCCACTTCAGAAACACCTCATGACAGAGGGTGAGGGCACAATTACCAGGACAAGGAACCAGAGATGGTTTACTGCTCAAATGTCCGGACCAAGCCGGCAGGGCCTGAGAAAGGACAACATTCCTCAGAAGCCCCAACTACCCTCCCTCATCCCTCCTTTGCTCATCCAATGGCACAGAGGGATGATCCCCACTTTCTTGACTCTAGAATCTAATGAGAGAGGAGAAATGAGAAACTGCCCAGGGGTGGTGTGTCTATGAGAAAAATGAAAGGGTGATGTGACAGCCCCACAGGAGACCCGCTATGGGCCTCTCTGCGCTGAAACCTAAAGAACCAGGAGCTGGCCCGTCCTTCTGGGTGGGAGCTCCAGGCAGAAGGGGCCTCAGGTGCAGGGGAGAGGGCAGCTGTCTAGATCAAAGAACAGTGCCCAGGTGGGGGGGAGGGGATGAGTGACCGCACCGCCTAGGCTGCCTCCTGCCTTCTGCACCTGCGCCAGCCACTGTTTTCCTGTTTGTCGTTTGCCAGCACCACGCTCGGCCCTGCCTCGCCTGTGGCCTGGTGGCCAGCGCGGACATGCACCACCCGCCCGCGCTGCCCGCGCAGCCCCGCCTGCCCCTGCGCCTGGACGGCCGTTGGGTCAGCGCGGGCTGCGAGGTGCGGCCAGCGGTCCTGTTCCTCACCCGGCTCTTCGCCTTCCACGGGCCCAGCCGCTCCTGGGAAGGCTACTACCACCACTTCTCCGACCCTGCCTGCCGTCAGCCCACCTTCACCGTGTTCGCGGCCGGCCGCTACGGCAGGGCCACGCCGTCGGCCAGGGTCCACGGCGGCACCGAGCTAATGTTCGAGGTCACGCGGGCACACGTGACGCCCATGGACCAGGTCACCACGGCCATGCTCAACTTCTCCGAGCCAAGCAGCTGCGGGGGCCCAGGGGTTTGGTCCGTGGGCACTGAGCGGGACGTAACTGCCACCAACAGGTGCCTGCCATTGGGCATCCGGCTCCCGCACGTGGAGTACGAGCTTTTCAAGATGGAGAGAGACGCCCTGGGGCAGAACCTGCTCTTCATCGGACAAAGGCCCACCGATGGGTCCAGCCCCGACACCCCAGAGAAGCGCCCCACCTCCTACCAAGCGCCCCTGGTGCTCTGTGGTGGGGAAGCGCGCGACTCCCTGGGGCCCCCGCAGCACAGCCCCGCACCGCGGAAGCCCCCAGGTGGCGGGGGCCCGGGCCTTCGAGTGGCCCTTCTGCCCCTCTTGCCCCTTATTCTCAGGGCAGCCTTCCTCCAGTGGCTGTGACATTGGCCTTCCACAGCAAGGCAGCCTTGCTGGCACCCTCCGACCCCAGGACTCCTTCCCCATCCTGGGTGCCACCAACTCTCTGCGGGGAAGGACCGATCCTTGTCTGTGCTGTTGGAATGGACGTTCCCCCACTGCTTCTAAACCCAGCCCATGCGCCCAACACCTGCAGATACTACCTGTCTAGAGACTCGGGTCACTGACCACTGGCTTGGGCTTGAAAGATAGAGTGCCTGGTTAACGAGCTTATAAATGTTCAGGCCCAACATTCCTACTGTCCTCGGCAGCAGCAGAAGTCCACGGACAGGCACTAGCCAAGGGACCACCGGGGTCTGGGATTGTGTGAGCTGGGAGAGGGAGGACAGCCCAAGGGCCTGCCTAGGGAGCATGCCTGCTGTTCTGCCAAGCCTGCAGCTTGTTGTTTAATGATTATTAATTCTAATTTAGCAATACAAACTCAACACGGGGCCATGAATTAAAGATGCTGCTTTGGGCTTTTAGTAGTTCTCGGCTTTCTGGCAAAGGGCTGATGTCTTTGGGGGCAATTCAGCTTTCCAGAGTCCTGACTGCTGGCATTTGCCAGCATCTGCCTGTGTTTCTGCAAGTGCAACCTCAAGCTGTCAGCACTGCGTGCAGATAAATCCAGCCCTCCTGGGCCAGCCTGCTGATGGGGAGGGCTCCCCTGGAATCGAGAAGTGTGGCCTTCCAAGCAGGCTGCAGCCCCTGAACCCACACCGGCCTCCAGTGTGCCCTGGGGACCTGGCTGGCTGCTAGGGGCAGGTCTTGGGAGGAAGGCAGCGTTTCCAGCCTTCAGAGAGTAATTAATACTAATGACAGCAGCAGCACTGACAGGCACTGCAATTAGCCCTGCACAGCCGTCCTGTGTTTTCAAGATTTCCTGTGCTTAACTAGCAGAGAACCTCTGAATGTACATCTTCACGACCACCCCAGAGAGAGGTCAGAGTCACCAGCCTGCAGGGCAGCATCTGGAGATGGGAGGAGCCAGGAAGCTTCGTGTCACCCAGCTTCTTGCCCCCATGCTAATGTAAGGGTATCCTTCCCTGCTCAGAGGGGACTGCCATCCTGGTGGGGACAGACTGTGACTCTCTGGGGACCCTGCCCATGTTCCCAGGGCCTCATCTGTACCCTGTACAATTAACTGGCATGGACTGCGGGCCTATGGTTCAGGCTCCTCCCCCTTCCCAATGCCTATCTCCAGCTCTTATCACAGATCTTGAACAACAATTGTCTGTGAGGCTAATGATGCTTTCAGAAGGAAGCCCTTGTCCTCCCTGAGACTGTGTGGGGTTCAATCAGCCTGCTGAAATTGCTCTAACTTATTACCCATTCTTCTTTAAAAAAAAAAAAAAGCCATCGAGTTAATATTCTCTGTAGGTCTCAGACAGCTATGAGTGTTCCTGGCATATTTACCAAAGCACAAGAAATAATTAGATTATTTACGGTCTTAGACTACATAGGGGTTGGGGGAGTTTCTGGTGGGGGTGATGGGGTGGGGAGGGGTGTCGATAATATGCCCACAGCTGAGCAAGTCTTGTATCCGAGGCTTGAAATAACCACGCCACCATTTATCATCAAATTTGAATCTTTTAATAAAATTAAACAGCCTGAAAAATGTTCTTGCTGGTTATTAAAGTCAACCAAGGGGATTATGGTTCTAAAGAAAGGATGTGGAGTGTCTTCTACAGAATGTGTGAAAGAAAATCAAACCAGCGGAGATAAACCCCAGCTCTCTCAGTTCCACTCTCCTGCTCTTCTTAAAACTCCCCAGGGGCTTCCACGGCACTGGGAATAAAATCCCAGCTCTGGCTCACTGCTGCCTGCAAGGTCCAGCCATACTCCCTGTGCGGCCTTCTTTCTTCTTTTTGATCACATGAGCTGTTGCTGCCTCGGGGCCTTTGCACATGCCCTAGCTGCAGCTTAATATCTCTTTCCTTAGACGTTCAGAAGCTTTCTCTTCATTCAAGTCTCAGACTAACTGTCACCTCTTCAAGGAGGCTCACCATTAGCATCCTAAGAAAACAGCCCCTCCCCTGTCCTTCTGTGAATTCATCACATCACACTGTCGTGTGTGCTTTACAGAGCATACTGATCTCTGTTCAAGACAATCTTATGTATTCCTGTTTGCTCTCTGCCTCCTCTGCCTGGAAGTAAGCTCCATAGGGAAATGAAGGGACTCTGACTCACTCGCTGTGATCTTTTCCACAAGGTCAGGAGTGCCTGGTGTCTAGCAAAAGGCACCTCAGTAAACATAGCTGACTAAACAGATGTTGGTGATCCCTGTCACTCGTCCCACTGAGACAGGTAAGCAGGCCCTTGCCACACGTCAGGTGCAGCATCCTTCAAGAGGCCCAGCTGAGTTTGGTAAAGGCGTACAATTCTCTGCATCTTGTACACAAGGACATTTAGACTCAGGGACAAGGGGCCTGCCTGAGGTCACACAGTAAGTCAAATGCGGCATCTGCACCCTCGCAGCTGTCTCCAGCACCTGAGGGCTGGGCCTCTTGGGTGTCTCCGGCTCCCAGAGGGGACGGGATTCCTCGATTCGTATTTGGGGGCAGAAGTGTGGTGCTGCTTTGGGGAGCCTGGCAGGAGTCACCTCTAATTAAGGATGTGTGGAACAGAAGAGAAGCTCCATGGCTCCCTTCAACTGCACTTTGCCGCCCTCCCTCCTGGGGTTCTTAGGTTGGAGTCAGTTGGTGCTGAGAGGAAACGGGAAGGCTGACGAGAGGCACTTTTCTCCTGGGCAGGGGGTCACTGCTTCCCAGACTGATAAAGGAAGGGTCACTTCAGAGGCCAAGGGGCCAAGGAGGCTGTAGTCTAGGGCAGGGACAGCGGCCCACGGGCGCCATGCTGTCTGGCCCTTTGCTGGGGACCTCCACTTAGCCTCTATCCTGCACCCAGAGCCTGCGTGAGCTTTCATGCACACAGGGAGAGGGAAACCCAGAGTGCTAGTGCAAAACAAAACAAAACAAAATTAATGTCCTCCATTGTATGATCAGTCACGTTTTCGAGGAGGGTGGGGGGAAGCCCTCGCAGCTGATAATTTCATAGCACAACACCCAGGAGAGTAAATGAGCTTTTTTTTTTTTTTTTAATAAAAAGTTTAAATTGTATACAGCTCTCAGAGGCCCATTAACTAACAGATGCTGGTTATCAAAAGAAGTTATTTCTTTGCCTTTCTCTAAGCACATGTGTTTAATCACCCAGCGGTGCTACCAAGCTGAGCAGCAGTGTGTGGCTTGGGAACGCGGGCGGCCGGCACGCGGCCTGGGCCTGTGCATCCTCTCCTGGGAGCCTGGGTGACTCAGGCGCGAGGTGCTGGAGCTGTCTGACGCAGAATGTGAATGTGGAGCTGCATCAGAGCCAGCAGCAGAGTCACAGCCATTAGTCACAGGTGGGAGGCAAGGGGGGAGGTGAACCTGGCAGTAGTGTACGGCCTCCAATCCACTCTTGCTGGCTTTAAGTGACTGAAAGCCAGCTCCTTCTCACACACATCAGCCCCCTTAAATGGATGTGAGGGTGGGAGTAAATTACCTGCCAGTGCTACTGAGAACTAAACTCCTGAGCTTCCAGGCAGCCCCTCTTGGCAGCTGCCCCCTCCACCTAGTCACAGTGGCCTCCATGCTATGCTGCACTCACCTCGAGCTTGGTCCCTCTCAGGGTCTTTGCAACAGCTCCTCCCTCCCCTGGAATTCTCTGCTCACACAACCTGACCACCCCAAAGAAAGGAGTCCCCCTACCCCTGCCACATGGCCACTTCCCACCCCTGCATCCTTTCTCTTTTGTGAAGTTTGAAGACATCCTGTTTGTCCGTTTCCCTGTTCATTGTTAGCCCTCTCCCCTAGACTGTGCTCCATGAAGGCAGGGTCCTTTTCTGTCTCCTTCTCCTGTTAGTCTCATTTCCCAGTGGTCCCCGGTGTAGCAGAGGCCTGGCACATAGCAGGTTAGTAAATGCGACTTAAATGAGTAAGTGAGTCCTGGCTGGAGACACTGAATTGAAGCATCCAGATGACATCCACATGCTACATACTGGCTTGGAATTTTGATGTTGATGGACCCATTTTCTACTCTCCAGGGTATCTGGCCCCGAATAGGAGGCTGCGTGGCCTGGCACTGACCCCTTGAGAGTCCATCTTGAGCTTCTCATTCAGTCTTCGAGCCCCACATCCCCATCCTCCACCCGCCAACTTCAGTTTCTTCACCAAGAAAATTGGCTGAAACATGACAGTTCTCAGAGCCATCCAGCCCAACCTCAGTCATGGAAGATCCTAACTAGAAACTGAAACAAAATAAATCAGTCATGTGCTTTAAAGAAATGGCTTCAAACAAACCAACTTGCAATGAAGATGAGTCTCTTGTCCAGTGATGTAGTATTTATTTCCTAGGGGTCAGTAGTAACCTACTACTATCACTCCTACGTTTGATAATTTTTTTAATCCCTCAGGAGGAAAAACAACTTAACAAAACTTAGGTGGTCACTACTTCTGTTGACATCCATTGTGGCAGTTTAATAAAACCTACATATATTTATCGAGCACCCAGCGTGTGCCAGGTCCTGTGCCAGGTAACTTGGAAGGAGGCCTGAGAGCTGAGGAAGGCAGGGGCACATAAGCTTTGAGCTCTACTCCCTTCTGAAGTCCCAATAAACTATGAGAAAAGGCACAAAGTCACATAGATAAACAGAAAAGGAGACGAGAACATAGCCAACAAGAAATGTCAACAAATTCTGGACTTTGGAAAGCTGACGGGTAGTTTATCATGACAACAGAATACAGAAAGCAGAGAGCCAAGCACTAGCTGGGTGGCCAAGGGGCAGGGCGCAGAAGCAAGTCCACTGTGCCACAGATGCCCTCCAAAAGCTTAGGAAGTGGTGATCCCCAGAACCTCAGAAGGCAGGAGAGCAGTGAGGCTGACAACAGGAGGAATCTTGGAAATATTTCATAAGTCTCCAAAAGGAGTTCTACTCCAAGATCCTCTCT